AAGACCAGATGAAGAAAATCGTCATTTATTATAAAATAGATGGACTTAGTGCATTTATTTTCAATTTATAATCAATTTCTTCTCAATCCCATGAGCATACCCTCATGACCTCATCAAAATTAAGCGTTGAGGAAAAATAAATAGAAGGATTTAAAGTGCAATTTTTGTTAATGAGTGAGTTATTATTCCATCAATGATTTATCATAATTGTTATAGGTAGAAATAAAAATTTAAATTTTCAACCCTTCACTGTGGGATATCAAAATATCAAGTGTTCTTTCTCTGTGTTTTTCGAATAAAAGTCAAATGGTCCAAACCCCTACTTATGATAAATCGGAGGGGGGGGGGGTCCGTAATGTACACCTTTTTGCATATCATCCTATTTCAAGTTTTGGCTCTTCTAGATTTTGAGACGTCTTTTGAACTTACAGACATGAAGAGAGATTTCGATTTTTGGCTTCTCTAATAACCTCTCTTTCACTCCCACACAAATCGATCGGGGAGAATTGCATTGAAGGTTGGATTGCCAATATTTTGACTAATTTAGCACTATCGAGTTGCAGTGATTAACAAGTTCGTCTGCTAAGTCAGAAGCACCATATTCGTTACCAGTTTCGTACACATTCAGTGAGTGAAATGCCTAGTGGAATTCATTTTCTCTCAAAAGGAGGGGGTGGAGGTGACTTAATTATTCCATTCCTCCAAATTCTGCAAATCAAAAAAGGTAAACTTGTGCTTAGTAATTTTCATAATGCTAACAATGACGTCTAAATTGGATAGTCCGAGCACAAATCTCGCTTTCAGTTGAATTATATCACAAACGACTAAAAATTAGCATTTTGTTGCAGCTCAATTGCGTGTATTCATCTTACTTCAGTCAATGACCTCTGCATATGCCGTAACTGTCACAGATATATATATATATATATATATATATATATATTAGGTTGGCAACTAAGTCATTGCCGATTTCAAATAAGAAGGCAAATTCGGAATTTTTGTTTAAAAATATAACTTTATTCTATTAGATATTGGCCGTTCTTGTCGATGACCTTTTTCCATCGTTCTGGCAGAGTAAAAATTCCCCGTTCGTAAAATGTCTGGTCTTTGCTAGTAAAAAACTGAATTAGGTGTGATCCGACATCATCCGCGTTGTTAAAAATGTTACCATTTAAAGAGTTTTGCATGGAACGAAACAAATGGTAATCCGAAGACGCAAGGTCAGGGCTATATGGTGGGTGTGACAAAACATCCCAACCCAGTTCCAATAATTTTTGCCGAGTAACCAAAGATGTGTGGGGGGGGGGGCCTTGCGTTATCATGATGGAAAACAACACCCTTCCGATTTGATAATGCCGGCCGCTTATCTTCAATTGCATCCTTCAGTTTTTCGAGTTCTTCAACATACACATTTGAATTTATCGTTTGGTTCTGCGGCATGAGTTCAAAATACAAAATTCCTTTGTGATCCCACCAGACTGGCAGCATAATCTTTTTTTGGTGAATCTCTGCTGCTTTTGATACTGTTTGGGCTGGTTGATCTTGCTTCACCCATGATCTCTTGCGGGTAACATTGTTATAAACTATCCACTTTTCGTCGCCAGTAACTAGGTTCTTCCTCGGAAATGGATCATTCTCATTGCGTTTCAGTAGCGGCGAATCACAGATGCTAATCCGTTGCGTCAAATGAATTTCCTTTAACTGATGAGGGATCCATAAATCAAGTTTCTTGACATAACCAAGGGTTTTTAATTTTTTTCAATGCATGTATGCGACATATTGAGCTTCTCTGCAATATCTCGTGTTGTGCTGTGACGATTTGAATCGATAATGGCCTTGATATGAGTTTCATCCACTTCGACTGGGCGGCTTTCACAGTACTCATCTCACCTTTTCTCTGCCTTTGTGTCTGTCTGTCTCCTCTACATCTGCGAATCACTCTTCTGTTCCCCTTCCCGAATTGTTCTCACTTTGATTTCCTCCCTCTGCGAAGCCCAAAGTCAGCTAAATGGCTAATGATAAATATTCCAAACGCCTGCCATTTGAAATAATAATAATAATATTACCTCATGCGATCTCTCTCTTGGTAAGTGATTTCTCGTATTTCTCTGGACTAATGCGTTACTAACACATTTATTCACTCGGAGTCATCGTCAGTGATTCAGGCGTCAAGTGCTTAATGCATAGTCTGCTCTCTCTCTGAGTCATTGGCACGTGTTTCCGCTCACCCATGTGGGGTCTTGCGCGAAATCTCTATCCGACTTTTTTCAACAAGTCGAATGCTGGAAACAAATAACTCCCTACCAAGATTTCCCCGCCTCTAAATATAAAAGGATGCTTAATATTACTGGCATTTCTGAAACCAGTTGCTGAAGTATAGTATTCGTGCTCACTTTTTATATTCATTATGTGTGTTAAAGTTAAGTTAGTTGTCCAAATCTATGAATTTTAAGTGCTAGTTTGTTTCTCAATCTTCCATATGTAACTTAAATGATTTTCAAAAAATTAGCATCAGTATCGCCCTTTTAAGTACAACTAGACCAATCGAAAAAAAATACATATACACCCTAGACCAGATTTTCATGCCAAATAAATTTTGCAGATCACAGAATCGTTGTTGACCTCATTTACTGAATTTAATGGGTGAGATGTAAGTGACCTGGTAGACGTATGCTAGCGCAATTTAAGAGACACGTACTTTAGAGGTCCGGTAAATCAACTAATATTTGGTGACTGTGGAGTGTGGAAAAATGACCCACAATTACATGTTCTTTTTGTCCCAGCCCCCAACCCCCCCCCCACAGGGGTGTGTGATAGACTTACCTCCACGTGGTGCAGCCTGGGCAACGTATACTCACACGATATAAAAGTCCATTAAACGGCAGTTGACTTCTCACTTCAAACTACCATCACCCCACTGTATGCCATGTTCCAACACTCCTGCAGTACTCACCTCACCTTATCTTTTTCTCTACCTTTGTGTCTGTCGGGCTCATGCATCTGTGAATCGTCCTTCTGTTCCCCCTCTCGACTTTTACACATTTTGATATTCCTCTCCCTTCTGAAGCCCGAAGTCAAAACGCCTGCCATTTGAAATAAATAGTGTCCCACCTCCAGATATCTTACAGATCTCTAATGTCAATACGCTTCCTTTGTCAAATTAGGCACAACTTTTTCCATATACGTGTTGGCAACAATAATGGGTGACTGGAAATCACATCAATCAAGGGAAGGAATAAATTCCATCATGATGATTTGTGACTATCATCAAAGTAAGGTGATCATGATCTCGGCTTAGAGATACCTGAACACTAGTAAAACAATTCTGCATGAGTGTGAAAATTGAAATGAAGACCACGAGGCAACTGGATGGCGGATGCAAGAAAAACTAGACGATCTTATGTGCTGATCTGATCTCGAAAATCAGATTTAAAAAAGCCTTGGGACACCCTGACATTGCATTTCAGATTCTGTAGTAGAAACTAATTGAATGTCTCAACCTCTTCCATGAAGATTGCACTCAATGGGGACCTTCACTAATTCTAGCTCATGCAAATATTCCAGAGGCCACATTTTCACAGGAAAGGCATTCGAAAATGGTCTAGCAAAAGCGAAGTAACTCCTGAGCAAAATGAAATATTCTTCTGAAGCATAAATATTCTAGTCCCTTTCGATGAGAAAAACTTTCACCCAGATGGAAAAGTGGAATGGAGAATAATAGATGGTTTGACTTGCATACAATCCAAAGGACACCTCCCAATTCACAAAGTTTGCTTTACCAAACTGTCATGGTTTTCAGATGCGTATGAAGTGATGTCTTGTTCCATACATTTTGGGGGGTGGGGGTTTGGTTGAATTCCGGAGCCTAGGTGAAATTGCTGACTAAAATAGCAGTTAGGATGGGAATAAAAACTTAGTTGGCGAATAATTCGCCATATGTATGCATTCAGGGTTGTCTGTCTACTTTTACGACTTAATCAGTCCAAGTATTTGTCCTCCTAACACCCCAGAGCTTAGCCTGATGGACTATAATCTATCGACCGTTGTGAAATGAGACACTAATCACAGTCCCCGTTTCACAAATCCCCAGTTAATGGACAGACCAAAGCTGTTTCTGAGACACTTGACAACAAAGGCGTCACATCAACTTATTCCAGCTTCCGTGTCCAGAATGAAACCGTACCAATAGTGAAGTTGCCTATTTCATTCCCGTTTATTTGGTGTTTTAGTCGCTGGCCACATTTTCACTGACGCGACTGTCAGATTTATTCCGAACACTCGTATACCCTCACTTTGACTAGTCGTAAATGGTACAATATGAAGATGCGTACTTTTAAGCACTGCCGTTTATTTCGTAAATTACTTTAGAGAATATACTAGGAAGTAGCAATATCAATAAATTGCCTATCACTAGAAAGAGTAACTAAATGATTTTCTAAGATATTGGAAGTTGTTGAGAAACTTAATTTTAATTATTTAGAGGTACGAACTCGCATTTATAAACTCTCAGCTTAGATTTGACTCTTTCTTTCAGTCTCTGGGTTCCTAGAGGTAATTTTTTTACAAACGGAATCTTATGTTGCATAAAAGAACATTCTATGGGAATTTATAATGTTTATAAAGATTTCTTATTGATTACCAAATTCACTTTAAAATTGTAAACATTGGCACTTTCCTTCCTGGTGAGAGAAAATGGTGATTTTTGGTCAGCAATGAGAAAGCGAAAGTAGATAGATGGCCCCACATGTTCTTTGCCAACCATGCACCAATAATTTTCCAGAAAGTTCACTGCTTCTACACACGCAGAAGTGGCATGCGCGCACCTTTAGTTCACATGCAAACACACGCACAAAAGCGTAAGCCAATCAGCGCCAGAACTACTACGTGCCGAGCCAATTCCAGCAAAACTTCGACCTATACAGCAGGTTTAAAAGGCCTTCGTGAAGTATAATTCACTTTATTTTGCCTTTTCTCTGTAAGTTCGTGTGTGAAGATTAATCATGTCATATACCCCATCTTCATTCCGTTCGGAGCTAACTATCCCCGTGAAGAAAGATCCCAGGACATTTGAACAGAGCCGAAAGGATCTTGTCACCAAGTTAGAGAAGAACTATAAAACCTCCAGTACGGCAGATACAACTGGAGACGCCGTTTCCACAATGTCTTCACAAAGTGTGAAATCCTCGACGCGTAACTCTGGTGCTGGACCACTTGCAGGCGATTGGGAGTTTCAACGAAGTCGATGGATTGATGAAGCCAAGAAGCAATTTGATGATGATGTTAGACGCATGAGGAGCAATATGTTTGCTCTTGAGGTAAATTTCTTTTTCATGGTATACAATTTTACATTTACTGGGCTACTTCGCAAACTGCGCAATTGTATATCCTTATTTAGAACAGCGTGGAAGTGCTTCCGGATTCTGGAAGCTATTGCATTACTAAACTTATAATACGATAGAGTGATTAATCGGATCTCGCATAATTCAAATGGCTTTCCATTTTCGTCAAACATTAACCCTAGTTATTTTTTGTACGCTGTAATTCTATTTAATGCTCCCCAGTAAATCCAAATATATTGCATTCTTCTACTATTTGTTAAGTTAGTATCACGTCACAATCGCATTTACCGGTTGAATGATTTAATGTGAAAACAATTTGTGTTTAAATTAGCTAGAATTGAGCACAAATAATAGTTAAAAGCTATTACACGTGCTTTTTGCAAGCTATGGTTAAATCCGTGTTCTCAGCATTAATTAGCCCCATTGTCAAGAATAAACCACATTATTGTATTAACTTTTGCCTATTTTGAAGCCATACTGACAAGAATTTGTGTGAGTTAGCTTCGAACCATTGAATTTGTCGAAGGCCCAATAAATTTGCATTTTTTCTCCGAGTCATTTGCATTGATATGGCTCTTTGACTACTTGGTGACCCTTTTAATGAATGCATATTGAAATGGATAATCTCTTTGTGGCTACTGATGCCACCTTGGTATTTTTCAGTCAAACTAATCTGTATCGATTTATTTTGTTTATAACGTGATATTTGCATTTCAATTCATGACCTATTTTAGTAATTTGATTAGGAAAATCGTTTTTTGTATAAATATGATGCGCATAAAAGAGCACTCCTTTATCCTTGCCTAAATGATATTTTTCAGCCTGAATGGGTAAGTCTTTACTTCACAAAGATTGGAATTATTTTGTTTATATCTTAGCTAACAAAATTGATGTAGATAAATTAACCAATCTGTATGCCTATTCGCTAATAAGCAATTTAATGAACTTTCAGCTTTATGGCCATCAATGCCTATAGCGAAGCAAAAATTAACCTTCTTTTAACTTTAAGCATGGGTGCTTAAAAATTGACACAACTTGCAAATTACTTTTCACAATATATATATATATATATATATATATATATATATATATAATTCCGTTATATATATATATATATATATATATATATATATATATACTAGTTTGGGGAAGCAGGTGCCTTAATTTGTGAATTCTTAATACATCTGCATACTTTTGGAACTCTCTCAGAAATCTTCCACTCTTCAAATGTTTTATATTTGAATAGTACGTCAGTTTTTACAGGCATATTTGAAAGTCGAATGTGCTTAATGGTTGGTCTTGACACCTTCAGTCGCTTTATAGTGGGCAAACAGAGTGAAAGTATTGACGCACACACTGTGTGTCACTTAGAATGAACTTGACTCTTATAAACGTCTATTATAAATTGGTTGTGACATAAATTCCTTGCAATAATAATTTACCTTTCCATCTGAAATAATGTATATCACGTTCAGTCAGCTGAAACCTTTCAATTCGAAATCGTACTTCACATATATATACTATGCATTTACAAGTTCTGATCTATTATTTTCTCTTTTTTCCGACAATTGACAGTGTTCAAAAGTGAAGCATCGAATGATACTTAGAGAAGTATGTTTCTGAAAACATTAATTTACATTCCTGTAGGCGACGTGCTAGGAAGGGCAGCAGAGTGTGACATAAATAAGAGATCAAAACAGATTTTATGCAAATTGGTTCCTCCTACTTGTGTTTCACTTTCCAAGACTTGGTTAAGAGCTTTGTTACTTTAGTTTAATCTTTTGCACCTTTCCAAAGGCACTAAACGTTATTCTCACCTTGGCGGTCACTTGAAATCTCAGAAATAAAAGTGAAATTGCCTACCACTAGGAAAGAAGAATGTATTTCTTAAATATGTGATGAAGGTCTAAGCTTTGGAGAGATTGTAATGTGCCACTAATTCTGGGTAAAATAGGTCGTTAAGTTATTGGCCAATTTAAAATTGAGATAATAAGTAACGTATCAAATCACTCAGAAATAAAAAGCTAACATGTGATGGAAAAGCTTAACTAACAAACCATGACTTATAGGAATATATATCGTAAACTAATTTTGGTCAAACTTTATTCTTTCAGCCAGTAAACGATTTTGATCTGGATAACTGGGATAACTTTGGTAGCAGAGACCACGGATTTGAAGCCATGGAACGTCGAATGCAGGCAATGCGGGAACAGATGGATAGACAAATGGGAATGATGGGAACAGGAGGTGGTATGGGTATTCCCATGGGTCTACCTTCTACTGGAGGTCATCATCAGGTCACTTCCCACTTCTCTAGCTCATCTTCACGCACAATCAACGACGGTGGTGTGGTAAAATCGAATACATCCACAACTCAGGAATCTCGTCAGACTGTTGATGGCGTGACCACTGGAACAAAGAGCCATTCGTCAGCTTCAAATACCAGCAAGCTAGATGCTGCTGGCATTCCTGCTGATAGACAGCTATTGACATCTGCTGCCCCTGGAGCTGTCATTCCATCCTCACCTGGAAGTGCAGGTGTCATGGATTTCCTATCAAATGCTTACGAAGTTGGAGATGATGGATTGGTAAGTAGCCGCTGCACATTCGAGTTTCCCTGTTAGATAGTCCGCTCGATGATCAGCATCGAATCAATTGTTGTATTTGATATAGAAACAGCCTCGGCGTGATATTTACACTCATATTTGTTTTAGTAAAAACTTATGTCATCTAGTTGTAACTCCAACCAGTTTATGACTTGCGAGAGGCAGTCGTCCTATTTCTGTGATAGGTGAATTCCATTTGATGTTTGTATTCTTTGCGAGCAATTAAACTTGGCGTTTTATCGACTTCACTTGGTGGTATATTAAAGGCACTTAAAGGTTTCTTAAATTATGACCCAGTAAAACTATTTTTCGTCTAATAAATGAATATCTCCTTTTCAAAAGTTCCAAAGTTTCTTCAGAATTAAAATAGATATTTTAATTTTAAAAAAATGTGCATATTCGCCATATTTCAGTTATTCTACCAAAATGTTCTTCTTTGAACATTATTTACCCTCCAAGGCAATGTTTTCATTGGAAATAGGGACACTTTGAGGGCATTTTTTATGCACGAGCTAAATGCTTTGACTCTAAAATTTCTTGATCAAATGCACGTCAACTGGAAATCCTTAGCAATCATGGCATCAATCTATTCCTCGCTCTCCTTTATAGAGGAAAAATTGAGCAAAAACAAATGTCCCAGAAATAATTCATGTTCGCTGAAATGTAAAACTCATTTCCTGTGAATTCAAAAAAGGGCAGGAATTGGATTGATTTTAAATCCAATTCTTCATTCACAACATATGTGATAGCCCAAAATAGACTCCTGCATTGTGCAAGTTTCTGCTTCTCGTTTCTCCAGTTTGAATGACTAATGGTAGGCCTGGTGTGTTATTTATCACCGGACCACGTCTGTCTACCCAGGCCCAGAATGATTCATCACTAGGCCTCATTCTTCTGGCAGTTCTGCATAAGTATTTTCGCAGGACATACGAATGTGGGTGTGTCATGCTTCCAAATGATTTATTTACCACCACATAGGGTTGACTACAGCAGGGACAATGGGATCGCAAATAGCTGGTTGTTGCAAGATGTGCTGATATTTTCGCTTGGATTGTTTGATTGAATGCGATGAATTTGGGGAATTTCAGTTGAAAAATTCACGTTAACATAACTTGAATTAGGTTAGTTTAAGTCCTTTAATGCTTGCGGGAGTTCATTCGAGCTAGTTTCTTTATTTTTGTCATGCTTCTCGATGAGACAGTTCTGGCACTAACTCTAAAGCTCTTCGTGTTAAAGCAAAACACGCAGTGGCCTCTCGATTCTCCCAATTTAAGGGCTTTCATTTCTTAAACTTTTATTCCCACTCTTGCTTTCTTTGAATAGCTACAGATACAGATTTACAACATTTCAGACGACTCGTCTTAAAATAAGTTCTAATAATCAAACGTTTCCTAATAAGGCACATTTTGTAATACGCAGCATTACTATTAAAACTGAAAATTTTCCAGCGTTTTAAAGATGAACGCTTTGCCCTCCCATTGGCATTAATTTTGATAGTCGTTGGCTTGAATTATGCTATTTTAAGTTCATGTGTACTCGTCAGATTAGGGAAAACCTGGAAAAAGAATAATTTATATGTTTAACCTGACTTAATGCTGCATTTTGCACTCATATATCTTTGAAAGTTCTTCATCGTCAACACTTAGAGACAGTAGCCATAACAATACTTTTAACTATATTGCATTTCAAAGCTGCGAAGATAAAGCAGAACTGAAATAATATAATAAATACATATATATATATAATTTTTTTTCTGATAGGTCCACTTCAAGATCCGCTTTGATGCCAAGGACTTCTCACCAGAGGATATTGATGTGACCACTGTTGGAAGTCGACTGACAGTTCAAGCCCACAAGACAGTGAAAACCGCGAATTCTGAGATCTCGAAGGAATTCAGCCGATCCGTCGATCTTCCACGTTCAATCGATCACGAGAAATTCTCTTGCTCTCTCACGGAGGTATGCAAACGGTGAAGTAAATAATAGCTTTATGTAATTAGCGGGAAAAAAGGAAATTCATTCAGGGTCGGATTTAATTTGAATATTATAATTGTACATACTTTCGCATTTGCCTTCATTTTCGCTGTAACATTGACTATGCTCATTTCAAGTTGTATTAAAATGAACAAGTCACACATTAATTTAGACATTCCCCCAATTGCATTATATAGTCATATTATTAATTAACCAGTTTAGAAGTCACACTAAGGTAAACACTCCATTTTGCATCACGATTTCTGCTCAGTAACATCTGTTTCTCAAATATGATGAGAGTGTCAGTCTATTTCACTTTTTACGATTCACATTTTTCGATGTGACGGCAACCATAGCTAAGTTTACTCAAACAGAAAAATTAGGGGTCTTTTTAAATGCCTACCTGAAGTTCATATATTTTTTATATTGCTCCATATTCGTTTAGGAATTTTCCTCAGTCAATCTCTCTCTCGCTCTCCCTCCCATACACCAAATATTAAAAAATTGACAAAACACGGTCATTTAATGTCAATTGGAAATGTTAATGGAATTCTTTGTGCTAAAACTATATGTCTCCTTTCTATAGCAGCATGCTGTTAAATTTACAGCCTTTCATTGCGAACATAGACAATTTTTTCAGCTGAATATCTTCCATTTATTTCATCGTTCACATGTGTGAGAGACCGTTATGATGTGTTTTGTCAATTTCTATCAAATGAGGAGATCAATCGCGAAAACCCGATATGATGATGTAACATTAACTTTACCAATAGTACTGTTTGTCACAAGTAATTATTGCATTCAGTGACTTTAGCCAGTGGATTGTTATTGCTACAAAACTTGTAGAATGCAATTGCTGCCAAGTAAAGGAGGCTCTTTCGAGTACCGTTCCCCCTTTGAACTTTGCTAATGCTTTTTATCGGCAATATTTACTACTTGAATATCACTCAGGCAGAGCCAACATTTGGGAAGGTGGAAGACAGGCGTAGTATAACTAGAAAGCCATCCAGCATTAAGATAATGCACACACACACACACACACACACATTTCTGCTTACTAAGATGTATGTCGGGCATATTTATTGATTTTAACAGCAAAAGTTTTATTTACTTTTGAATGGTGCATAGGTGACACATTCTATTGAATATAGCGAGACAAATGCATTTTAGTACATGATATTAATATTTTACCTAATTTACCGCGAAGACGATGTGTGCCTGAAGGCACTCGTGCCAACTACTGTTTTCAGAATAAGTAAATTTACAAAACCCTGTGAAAATTCTTAGACAAATCGCATTATTCTGGGTGTCTTTCACCTTTTATCAACTGTTATGAAGGTAAACAAATAAGTCGGATTTTTTATTTGATCTTACTTGCTCTTTGAAGGACGGTGTTCTCGTTTTGGATGCGCCCGTCAAGGCACCTGATTATGCCTCAATCACGTTCGATTCAAGTCACAACCTTGGCATTCGTCCCAAGGATTCTTCGGCTCTTAAGTCAGCTGAGACCCAAATCTCTAACTCAAGTTAGTCTTAATCCTTAATAGAGTCTACTTTAAAGTATGAGTAGACAGAGTGTTAAATATTTTTTTCAGTGTCAAGTATGAAGATTACAGGCCAATCTGGTCCGGTCATTTTGAATGACGGAGTTGGTGGACGGAAAATCCATTTGGAAGTTCCTGTTGAACCTGATTACACAGCCGATGATCTATGCGTGAGAATGGAAGCGAATCAGATCTGTGTTTCCGGAAAGAAAGAACGCAGCTCCGATAGATCAACCTCGGGTTCAACTTCAAAGAGCTCTGAATTCACTGAATTCTCGCGCACATTTGAAGTACCAGAGACAATCGATCCATTTACTGTTTCAGCTGTTCTCAAAGATCGCACTCTGGTCATTGAGGCGCCTCTGCTTTGCACTGTTTAGATGAAGGGGTTCATTTTCATCCATCGAACTGGTTTCGACTCACTGCGCTTCATCCCTGCTCCTCTGAAAAAGTACACGCAGGCATTTATCACCACGCACTCGCTTTACACTGCTTTCTTATCCACTGCTTTTCGGTCCCAATATCCCCCCTTCCTCCCTCCTTCCTCCTTCCTTTTATCCTGGAGTAATTGCTTCCAATCTCATCTGCCCATCTGAATTAAATAAATTCTTTTGCTTCGAATTGTTTAATGTTTAGATGGCGGTACAAAAGATGGATTGATAAGTATTTCTTGATAAGTTGGTTTTATAGTTTTTGAGTTGTCAAAGCACTTTCAATCGTTTGAGACCTTTCATTTATTCTTGAATTAGCACCAATTGAAAAGCTGAATCTGTCTTATGATCTATGAACCACATGCAGGTTCAGTAATTCTATGGGTATTTTCCGAAATTTTCCCACTCTTTGTAGTATTTAATTAGTTCAGTGTGTTACTCATCTTATTTTCAGTAGCAACCCAAATTGATAAGACTTGTGGCCGGCCCTTCACTTAGGCATGACACAATAGGACCTAAAGCTTACATTTCGTTTTAACCTGTTATGACTAAGTAAAACGGATCCCCGTCTTATGCACGGTGATTTAGATGACGGATTGATGTTGAACCATCCGAGGTTTCAAGTCCAATGACTTAGTACTGGGTAACCTAGAGTTTAATTTTGTTGTGGTCTCACCTCTGGACAACCACATGACCTCGGACGCAACCTGAATTTTATGTTGCCCTCATATTTCATCCAAAATAAAGCTGTATATCTTTAGGCGCCCTTCTGAGCAAGGTGTTAGTTTGTCTGGGTCTTGGGATTAATCTTAATTGGAATATTTTCTAGTCAATAGCTTCTTGGCTCTCTCGTAAGAAACCATACTCGCAGAGTTGAATTGAATTGAATATTTCATTAATCAGGGAAATAAGCAATGCGTAAATTAAGATCATTGGGCTTAGGGATGATACTATGCTGGAATAACTACTGAAAAAGCTTAATTTTTCTACTCCTCATTCACCATATGTCTTTATTCCATCCATTTAACTAGTGCTTTCAGACTCTAATTAGAATGTACATGCGTTAAAGCTGATATTGTTTAGACCCTTTCTTAAGGCCACTAATTAGGAGTTTTAGGGTGCCAAAATATAAAAACAAATGTGTTTGAAACAGTAGTGAAATCGTGTTAGCAAAGAATACTTTATAAAGTTCTAGAATATAAAAATTTGAGCATAAGCTGATATCATTTTAACGACTTTAATTCATGAACATTTCAATAAGCTTTAATTGCCTTCTAAAAAGTCAAGTTCAGCTATCTAAATTTAAAGTAGGCTTGAGTAGTTTTCATCACATATTTATTTATTTCGAATGGCAGGCTTTGTGATTTTTATCATTAGCCCTTAATCTTTGACTTCAGTTTCCCCCAAGGGTGGGGGGTACATTTATAGCAGTTAATTAATAGCAATTCATTAGCTGTCTTCTTGCTTCCCAGTATCTTTGGCTTTCCGTCCTTGTCTTTAGAGCTGGACACCGAATCAGGTGGGTCTTCTCCATTTCCTCATGTAGGTTACATAGAGGGCATGTGGGTTGAGTGTATACTCCCAATCTGTGAAGATGTTTTGCCAAGCAATCGTGCCCGGTACGTAGTCTAAACTCAGCAACGGCTTCGATTCTTGGCCAGTCGGCTATGTCGGAGAGTGCCACTGTCCACTGTTTCTC